GAATGGGGGAGGAGGATGGTGATAGGTGGTGGGATGGGGTAGGAGGACACCAAGGGGTGGTTGGGATGGGGCACGAGGACTCTAAGAGGTGGTAGGGATGAGGTAGGGGGACACTGAGGGGGGGTGGGGATGGGGCTGGGTGGTGGAGATGAAGATCGGTGGTGGGGACAGGGTAGGAGGACATCAAGAGGTGGTAGGAATGGGGCAGAAGGATGGTGATAGGTGGTGGGGATGGGGTAGGAGGACACCAAGAGATGGGAGGGATGGGGCAGGAGGATGGTGATAGGTGGTGGGGATGGGGTAGGAGGACACCAAGAGATGGGAGGGATGGGGCAGGAGGATGGTGATAGGTGGTGGGGATGGGGTAGGAGGACACCAAGAGATGGGAGGGATGGGGCAGGAGGATGGTGATAGGTGGTGGGGATGGGGTAGGAGGACACCAAGAGATGGGAGGGATGGGGCAGGAGGATGGTGATAGGTGGTGGGGATGGGGCAGGAGGACACCAAGAGATGGTAGGGATGGGGCAGGAGGATGGTGATAGGTGGTGGGGATGGGGCAGGAGGACACCAAGAGATGGTAGGGATGGGGCAGGAGGATGGTGATAGGTGGTGGGGATGGGGCAGGAGGACACCAAGAGATGGTAGGGATGGGGCAGGAGGATGGTGATAGGTGGTGGGGATGGGGCAGGAGGACACCAAGAGATGGTAGGGATGGGGCAGGAGGATGGTGATAGGTGGTGGGGATGGGGCAGGAGGACACCAAGAGATGGTAGGGATGGGGCAGGAGGATGGTGATAGGTGGTGGGGATGGGGCAGGAGGACACCAAGAGATGGTAGGGATGGGGCAGGAGGATGGTGATAGGTGGTGGGGATGGGGCAGGAGGACACCAAGAGATGGTAGGGATGGGGCAGGAGGATGGTGATAGGTGGTGGGGATGGGGCAGGAGGACACCAAGAGATGGTAGGGATGGGGCAGGAGGATGGTGATAGGTGGTGGGGATGGGGCAGGAGGACACCAAGAGATGGTAGGGATGGGGCAGGAGGATGGTGATAGGTGGTGGGGATGGGGCAGGAGGACACCAAGAGATGGTAGGGATGGGGCAGGAGGATGGTGATAGGTGGTGGGGATGGGGCAGGAGGACACCAAGAGATGGTAGGGATGGGGCAGGAGGATGGTGATAGGTGGTGGGGATGGGGCAGGAGGACACCAAGAGATGGTAGGGATGGGGCAGGAGGATGGTGATAGGTGGTGGGGATGGGGCAGGAGGACACCAAGAGATGGTAGGGATGGGGCAGGAGGATGGTGATAGGTGGTGGGGATGGGGCAGGAGGACACCAAGAGATGGTAGGGATGGGGCAGGAGGATGGTGATAGGTGGTGGGGATGGGGCAGGAGGACACCAAGAGATGGTAGGGATGGGGCAGGAGGATGGTGATAGGTGGTGGGGATGGGGCAGGAGGACACCAAGAGATGGTAGGGATGGGGCAGGAGGATGGTGATAGGTGGTGGGGATGGGGCAGGAGGACACCAAGAGATGGTAGGGATGGGGCAGGAGGATGGTGATAGGTGGTGGGGATGGGGCAGGAGGACACCAAGAGATGGTAGGGATGGGGCAGGAGGATGGTGATAGGTGGTGGGGATGGGGCAGGAGGACACCAAGAGATGGTAGGGATGGGGCAGGAGGATGGTGATAGGTGGTGGGGATGGGGCAGGAGGACACCAAGAGATGGTAGGGATGGGGCAGGAGGATGGTGATAGGTGGTGGGGATGGGGCAGGAGGACACCAAGAGATGGTAGGGATGGGGCAGGAGGATGGTGATAGGTGGTGGGGATGGGGCAGGAGGACACCAAGAGATGGTAGGGATGGGGCAGGAGGATGGTGATAGGTGGTGGGGATGGGGCAGGAGGACACCAAGAGATGGTAGGGATGGGGCAGGAGGATGGTGATAGGTGGTGGGGATGGGGCAGGAGGACACCAAGAGATGGTAGGGATGGGGCAGGAGGATGGTGATAGGTGGTGGGGATGGGGCAGGAGGACACCAAGAGATGGTAGGGATGGGGCAGGAGGATGGTGATAGGTGGTGGGGATGGGGCAGGAGGACACCAAGAGATGGTAGGGATGGGGCAGGAGGATGGTGATAGGTGGTGGGGATGGGGCAGGAGGACACCAAGAGATGGTAGGGATGGGGCAGGAGGATGGTGATAGGTGGTGGGGATGGGGCAGGAGGACACCAAGAGATGGTAGGGATGGGGCAGGAGGATGGTGATAGGTGGTGGGGATGGGGCAGGAGGACACCAAGAGATGGTAGGGATGGGGCAGGAGGATGGTGATAGGTGGTGGGGATGGGGCAGGAGGACACCAAGAGATGGTAGGGATGGGGCAGGAGGATGGTGATAGGTGGTGGGGATGGGGCAGGAGGACACCAAGGGGTGGTAGGGATGGGGTAGGGGGGACACTGAGGGGGGCTGTGGATGGGGCTGGGTGGTGGAGATGAAGGTCGGGGGGGGGGGTG